CCCATTGCTCGCTTCGGCTTTGGACAATGGGCAATTGTAGCAACGTGGTGCCTCAGACTGGGCAGTAGCTGCGCCCACGGCAACCGCAGGATTTGGTTTGACGGTCTTCACGCCGGCCAAAGCTTTCGGGCGGAACTTCTCGTAGCGGTCTATCTGCACTTTTAGCTCTCGCACGGTGTTCGCGTGGTAGAGCATCGTTGCCGCCCCTGACTTATCGCCTATACCGGCAATAACAGCATCAAGAAGATCTCGCTCTGGTATGTTCGCTTTGCTCGCGATCACCTGCATCTCCAACAAATAACGCTGGACACTGATTGCCCTTTAGTTTCCTTGAGCTCCTCATACACATCCAGCAAAGAATAAGCGATCGCGAACTGTTCGGTTAGAGCCGCTTTCATGCTGAGGTAGTCTGGTGCTACCGCCGTTCTGGCGAACAATTTCGCAGTCCCATCCAAGAACCGACGCAAGCACAGCAGCTGCATTCGCTTATTAACGCGCATTATTACAAAAACGTCCTCCAGCTCGAAAAACCATTTGCGGATATCATATTTGTCGTCACCGGCAAACTTAGGTACCATCGCCTCGACTGTAGCTATGTCGATAAAACCACCCTGATGCGATTGATCTTGCAGTTGTTGGATCTCGCGTTCTAAAGTTAAAATTTCTCGTTGTTTCCTCAACCGTGTAATTCCCGGCTCCAAGTCCTCAGCTCCCGTAAACTAGGATGGAGGAGCGCTCTGGCTGTCTCTTTCTACATTGGCCGTAGCACTAGTGACGGAAGTAGCAGGAATATTGGCATTGTCCTCCGATACATGCGCAGCAACGGAAGACATAGGGGAATCGACTACCTCAGATACGTCAGTTACCAACAGGTTAGGTTCCGAAGTTTTGTCCTGAGTTGGATTATTAGCAGCGCTCACTTGGACACCCATGACCTCATCACAAAGTGAACGCAGTTGCGCGATGGTCGCGGTTTTCGGAAACGCAATTCCGGCTTGTGCTAACACCTCCATAAGGCTTTCTCCTAACCCGGATATTTCCGACATCACAATTCGTGTACACAGATATATTATTTAAGCAAACTTCCGATTAGCTTTTTGGGCAATACCCACTTCTGAAGGGCTGAAATAGCCCAACATGACCCTGGAATCTTCTGATTAATTAGAGAGCGTTTTTCTTGCGTACCTCACGCTTTGATGTCCCAACCGGAAGAGGGCATTTTTATTCTTCTTTTTCTCTTATTACATTTTCAGGGTACCCACATTAACAACAATTTCTTACAAACTACCAATGTTACGTTGGCACATAAATACTTTTACGAATATGGACCAGTTAACTAAAGTGTTGTTTACCCAAATCACAAATCTAACGTTGCCACATAAAACTTCTTACAACTACAAACTATTAAACTAAAGTGTTGCCGTGGGACATTCCTTACACAAGCAACACTTAATTGTCCATTTTAATTTTTCAATCCTTGCCGCTGGGGTGTAGTGGTAAGCAGTGCGCGCTTCCACTCCACAACACCTGGGTTCAAGCCCTGGTCAAAGCAACATCGCAAAAAAATATAAAAAAAAACGGTTTTTTCTTAACAGCGGTCGTCCGTCGGCAGGCAATGGCAAACCTCCGAGAGGATTTCTGCCATGAAAACCAGCTTCTCATAAAAAAAAAATACAATCGCCGTTCGTAGTCGGCGTAAAACTGTAGGTCCCTCCGCTTTGTGTGACAACATCAAGGCGCACGCCACAAATCGGAGGAGAAGCTCGGCCAAACACTAACATATGTGTAAGCGCCAATCTATTATTATTATTATTATTATTATTATTATTATTGAAATAAACTGAATAAAAAAACTAGGGATGTGCCGGATAGAGATTTTGCCGGATAACCGGATTCCGGATACCAAGTAAAAAATAAGAGTAGGATTCGGATATCCGGTAGACTGCTGCTCACAATATTGTTATATTCAGTTTTTTGTTTAGCGACATACTTATGACCAGATTATCTGCTTTTTCGAGCTTAACTATCCAATACGCAATTAATAATACAAAATTGTTCCCCTGAAATCCGAGTCACAAAATAATCCAGTATGAAAAAGATAACTTTTCCTTCTGCATCCGTGATTTATCGATTATTTTTGGTAAATAGAGGGAAACGTCAAAGACAAACGATAAACAATAATGAACGCCGCTAAGCAAAAACGCGTGGCTGTATTTTTATTAAAAACTATGATGGAAACCATTATGCATGCTTACGTATCGTCTCGCTTCCCATATCGGTCGTAATGCTTCATTGTTGCAAATTTTTGTGACCCACATTCCAAAACTCGTTTTTTCTAACATCAATAATTCTAAAAACGGTGGATGGTGAACTAATTCGAATATATAAATCAGCTAGCATGGAGAAACCAGTTGAATCATATGAAAAAAGCTGAACTCTAGTGAAAGCTTCTATTGAAGAGCGAGCTACCCAGGATATTTGGCAATGCTTTGAGGAAATCGCCAACGGCTCTGATGTTGATTCCAGTTTTTGTAGTGATCTGGATAGAAAAACTTTGGGTAGACAAGGTCGGAACCGTTCAAGAAAAAGGGCAGCGATTTAGAAATGGAGAACCCAGACAAGAAGATCCTTTTATTTGGTGTAAGCATAGTCGTAAAGAATTTCCAAATTTGTTTACACTGGCAATGAAACATCACCTTCCTCAGTGAACTCAAACAGACCCAGTGGGAAAATTAATGTATAGTTATCGAAAAAATAATCGGTAAAACAGCCGTTTTCGTATTCGAAAATGCGTTATTTTTCCCACGTCGATGTCCTAGGAAAAGTGGGGCACTCATTTTTGCATTACCAGTGATTTAATATGAAATATTTGCGAGTTTTTGGATACATTAGAATTCTGATTACATATTAAACAGAAATAGAATCTNCCAAACTTTGGGTAGACAAGGCAGGAACCGTTCAAGAAAAAGGGCAGCGATTGAGAAATGGAGAACCCAGACAAAAAGATCTTTTTATTTGGTGCAAGCATAGGCGCATTATATATATAGGCGCAAAGAATTTCCAAATTTATTTGTCAATGTTATTGTGGCTTGTTAACATTTTATTTTTAATATTTTTATTGAGCTTTGTACCACGATTGTTTNGAAAAAATAATCGGTAAAACAGCCGTTTTCGTATTCGAAAATGCGTTATTTTTCCCACGTCGATGTCCTAGGAAAAGTGGGGCACTCATTTTTGCATTACCAGTGATTTAATATGAAATATTTGCGAGTTTTTGGATACATTAGAATTCTGATTACATATTAAACAGAAATAGAATCTGGAACTCATTAGAAATACATTATATTAGGGCTGTGCGATTATTCGATTACTCGAGCAAGTTGGTTAATCAATTATTCGGTTAATCAATTACTCGAGTAATCAAGATTTTGATTACTCAAAACGATGATTAATCGAGTTACTTGAAATATGATTACTCAAAAAAAATAATTTTGCTCGTTAAAAGAGTTTACTTTGGAAAATGCTTATTTTCTTTTTTACATTCTGTATATGAAAAAATGTTTCCTTTTAATTTTTGAAAACAGAAACGTTGTTTTCAAAGTATCAAGGAACTTTAACTACTTTATACATATGTAAAGAGTTGAAATGTTGATTACTCATTTTACTCGAAATGTTGATTAATCATAAAGCAAATTACTCAAATATTTTTGTTTTTGGTTAATCAAAAATCTTGATTACTCGAGTAACTGAACTTTTGAGTAATCATAATTTCCGATTAATCGAATAATTGAGTTATTTACTTTATGATTAATTAAAATTTTGAGTAATCAATTAATCGCACAGCCCTACATTATATTATTTATCACGCATGTAATGCATTACCACTTTTACCACTGGGGAGTGTTTAGAACCTAATACTATCCTTATTTATGTTGCCCGATAATGCAGAAATGCTTCTTTTTATAATGAAAAATATATAAATTTTTAACTCTTAATTACTAATTAGATACTATTAAATTTGATTAAAAAACTACAAAAAAACTTCTGAACTAGATTTTTAAAGTTAATCTTCTATAATCGAAATCCGGAAATCCGGCCGGATTTTAGGCAGTATCCAGCCGGATAGTCGGATAACAGAAGAACGGCCGGATAAGCCGGATTCCGGATATTTACCGAATACCCGGTACATCCCTAAAAAGCATTAAACTGTACACTAAACTTTGTTGTTTTGCGAGCATATTTGCAAGCATATTTACCAATGTTTTGATGCTTATATAAGCGCTTAAAATGGATTTTTTCTTGCTTATTTTCTTCGGCCCTGGTGATGAACAACTTCCATAGAAAATCAAGTCATTTAGCTGCGAATTTCTTTAAAGTCTTTTTATTGAATAAATTAACTAATTTTATGATGTATTATTCTTCATGATTGGCGTTGTAACCGTCTAAGCGATTCTGCTTTTCAATTTTCTACTGAGCCCAAAGTGGCCGCTGGCGTCCCGAATATGTCAATATCATCTGCATTCGAGCGCAGCATAGTGCTTTTGCTGTATATGGTGCCGTTGCAATTCAGATTGCCAGATGTTATTACGCTTTTCAGCATGAGATTGTAAAAGATGCACGAGAGTGAATCGCCTTGTCTAAAGCCTCTCTTGGTCTCAAACGGCGCAAAAAGAGGTCCTTCCAAATATGAACGGAGCTGATGGCTATGCTCCACGTCCATCTATACAGCTATTAGTTCTGCGGGGATCCCAAATTTGGACATGACGTCTTATAGGCAGCTTCTCATCTTTGTTAGAAATCTTCTTGCTATCAAAAGCCGCTTTAAAATCGATTTGCTTTATCACACTGATAAGATTAAATCAGTTGGTTCATGAAGGGTTACAGTCTTTCACATATTATGCTCGATAGGGCCTTATAAGAAAAATTCCATGACACATTTTAAATATGAACTTTTTTTACTTCTTTATAAAAATTAATATTTTTTAAACTTTATTTCATAGCAATCATTATATCCATCATTTTCTGGATCTGGATCAATGGCTAGCATCACTTCTGCAGGAGGGACTTCGAATAACTCTGCCAATTCACAACCTGAACCGCGTAAAGTTCGGGCTTTGTATGATTTTGAAGCGGCTGAAGAGAATGAATTGACGTTTTTTTCAGGCGAGATTATACATGTACTAGATGACTCCGATCTGAATTGGTGGAAAGGCTATAACCAACGCGGGGAAGGTTTGTTTCCATCGAACTTTGTAACCGCTGACTTGTCTGTTGACCCGGAACGTTTAGATATCAATCAACACAATAAAACGAAAAAGAGTGTGCAATTTGAAGATGATACCAAAGCATTGCAATTAAAGACTGAGGCTGCCGCAGCGGCAGTTGCCGAACAACGAATCGAAATCGATGAAGTAAAGATTGACCGTCTATTGCATCTTCTGCACGAAGCGAACCCTGAAGACCCTTCGCAAGATAGCGAAGAAATGCTGCGCTTAGAGCAGCAAGTACATCAAATGGGACCACTTATTGATGCCGAGTTGGAGCGTGTTGATCGCAAGCATGCACAACTAACGCAATTATCCAGTGATTTGGTGGACGCAATCAATCTGTATCATTCGCTTATGCGCGATGATCGTATGGGACTATCAGGTGGCCCCGTATCTGGAGGTTATATAGGTGGTGTGCCAGAAATGGTAAGAACAATGGCGGGTTTAGATTATCAAGGCGTGCCAAATGCACAAATGTTATACGGTGCAGTTAGCTATCCAGGCAATACACATTTTCCACCACATATTCAACGACCACAGGACATTCCACAGCAAAGTTACGGCATGCAATCGTTGCCCTACGCCAACGCTGTACTGATGGCCCGTAATCTCGCACCTGTTACCACTCAAAATTCCCCAAACGTGGCTTCAACAGTAGTATCGGTACCGGGCGGCAGTTATCCTATCCCCTTGGAATATCAGAATGGACACGAAAACCCAGGACAGCGGAATGAAAATGGTAAACGTCCATTTATTTAAATATTAAGAGTCTTTACTAAATATTAGATTTCCCTCACCCGCTTCGCTGAGTATATGAAGTTTCCGCCTGCTACATTAGGTGTAATTTTTTTCTATAAAACTCAACATATACACCGAGGATCAAAACCTGAACAGTAATACATAATGTGAATTTTCTTGCGATATATTCGCAATATATTAAGACTTTTTTGTGTTCTAGTTTCGGATTTCACATTTCCAATGTTTATTTCATCAGAAGGCCATAAAAACAATCATTAATACAAGCAGATAAAGAAGAAAATTGCAAAAAAACGTAGCAACTAGCATGTTCCAGTTTTGCACCCGATAGAAAGTTTTACCATTTGCTTGACTTTTAATAAATTGGCCATAACCAATTTGAATATTTTAGCTTTTATTGTCACCTTGGGATACTTTTACACAGTTTTTGAAGGAAATCTGTTTAGATTGCGTACAGGTTTTCCTCAACGCCATGCCCAAGGTCTTGCATGCGATTGGGTGCATTTCCCTAATTGGACAGTAGCACTTTCAAACATAAGTTTTCTTCCCAGTTTCAAATCTGGGCTTTACAAAGGCCATTCCATGATTATAAAAACTTGGGAGTTATACCTAATTGGCCCCAGTTTCGGAGCATGTTTCGGTTCATTGTCCTGTTAAAATTGATAAGAGCCTGCGAAAAATATCCTAATAGTTAAATCACCGTTTTCTCAAGTAACCTGTAACTTTAAAGCTCACTTTATATTTCAAGGTTGCATTAAAATTAATGATTGCTGTCTAAAGTAAAGCATTTTACTATCCGTTTTAAATTGTTTTACAACCAAGAAATATACATTCGTCGTAAGCCGATAATAGAAATGCTTAACTTTAGACATTGCTTTACTTTTAATCCAACCTTTAAATATTAAATGAGCTTTAAACTTAAAGGTTACTTCAGAAAACTGCCCTAAATATTTTGAGGGGTTAGGAGCAGAGCTGGGTAATTTTTGATAACGATTACATTTTAATTACGATTGCTTAATTGTAATCCTTAAATTATACACTGAGGGAAAAAAATATTAAAATCAAATAGAAACGTAATTGATCTTACTATAAACGTCAACGAAAGTACTGTATATTGGTAAATATTCAATTCAATTACGCGCATATTAAAATGACCGCGTTCGTAGTGAAAAAGCATCCGTGAAGTGAATAATCAAGACAAAAACTTAAAAAAAAATTTATTTGCATGTTGCCTGCAGCCTATGTGAAAACAGGGGCACTATTGGGATACCCATGTCAACCTGCAAATTAGAACTTCGAAATAGCATGATCCAAGAGGCCAACAGGTCATGGCTAGAGGAGGGCACATGTAGAACAACCAGGCTGCTTTGGCCGCAAATAGAAAAGAAAAAGACGAAAGAGTTGCTGTGCCTCTCAAGAGAGGACATTGCGAAGGTCACGGCTTGTGTAACCGGTCACTGGCTATTTGGCAGGCACTCTTCAAGACTAGGAATTTTCTCCCACGAATATTGCAGAAGTTGCAGAGATGAGGAAGAGGAAGAAACCGTAGAGCACTTCTTCTGCAGCTGCCCAGCTTTGGCCAAGAGGAGAGCAAGCTTTTTAGGCAGGCCCTTCTTTAGCTCTCTTACGGAACTATCACGCGTAGGAATAAAACCGATTCTACGCTTTATAAGAGCCTCAAATTGGTTCTCTGAAGAATAGTCACCGAGGTTCCCGTGTTCTGCAGTGGTACCACAATGGACCTTCAAAAGGTCTAAGTGAGTTGGTAAATTGAACCGACTGCCACATCAACCTAACCTAACCTATGTTGCCTGCAGTGGAATTCGAACCCGACCATCACCGGACATCAACAACTTGTGGCAAGCATCTTTGCGCACTCAGCTACACCCAGACATATAAATTCACTTTCAAATGTTGAATATCCATCAACACCACAGCACGCGATTTGTACGGATAAACATGTATGTACTATCTATATGTGTGTGTTGTCACCGCTCTCAGGGTGGCGCTCTGCATGCTTGGGGTGCGTATGTGCACTTTACATATCCATATATACATACTCAGATGTGGACAGCAAAATACGTGCGTAATAAATTTTGTATGAAAATATTATTTTTAAATACGAACATTTTTAAACGATAATCAAATATAAAGTATTCATTTTTACTATGCATTATTTCCCTCAGTGTATGCGATTACGATTACTTTAATTATAATTATAAATGTTACCGTTATGATTATAATAATTGTAGTCTTAAAAATTCAAGGACTATGATTACTGGAATCGTAATCATGAAAAACATGATCAAACAAGTACAAAAAACTTCTGAACTAGATTTTTAAAATGAATCTTCTATAATCTAAATCCGGAAATCCGGCCGGATTTTAGCCAGTATCCGGCCGGATAGTCGGATAACAGAAAAACGGCCAAATAAGCCGGATTCCGGATATGTACCGGATACCCGGCACATCCCTACAATTAAAGTATTCGCAATCAAGCACGTTATATTTACAATTACAGTTCGGGATTTCAATTACAGTAATCGTAATTCTAAGTAAACAGAATGCAATCGTAATCATAAAGTGCCCAGCCCTGGTTAGGAGTATCACTTATGCATTTCCACAGCACCTGGACAAATATTCCGACTGAAAACGTTTCATTTTATCCTCGAGAGTTAAAATATTAATTAATATTAAATTTTGCTCTGATAATGTTGCTGGTTAAGAAGGACTTGTAAATGCTCGTTTCAAAATAATACCAATCCAATGCTTTTTCCTGGTAAAAATGCGTTTCTGACTAAAAATGTTTCTGGTTGTCAAGGCAGGCTTCGCTTTATCTTTGTGCTGCAACAACTTGTTTCCACGTCTTACATAATGTCGTCACTTGATTTGTGGTGAAAAACAGTAATTTTTGATTTGGAATCACAGTTTATTGGCATTCAGAGACCCTCCAATATGTCCAGCCTGGAATAGCATTTTTTTTTGTGGTCTCTTGACCTTGGAGACTGATGCCCGCCATTTGGCTGATATGATTTCTTTTTTTTATAGCGTGGACGATCAGAAACGTTTTGCAAAAACTTTGAATTTTTTTTTTGCTTGGTATGTGCACTTAAAGCACGCACAGCGAAAATCTCAAACACCTTGATTACAAAATTTCAGGAAATGAGCCAGGACTCCTCCAATGCAGTTCATTTTTATTCGGTAATTTTTTTTTGAGTTTCCATAGCGAATCTTAAAATGTTTATTGTCTAACTTAAAGTTAAACATTGGTAAGGCGAAGTGCAAATTTGAATTACCATAAATTTAATAAATTGAAAAAGTAGGTACATTACCACAAATTTGACTTTCCGTTTTATTGTTCCAATTTTGCTCTTCAGTCTACATACTTACATAAGCTCAGCCAAAAATATATATATATATATATATATATATGGAGGAGATACGCCTCCTAAATATATATATATTTAATATTTTCAAACTAAAACCTTAAACATCTTTCTTTCAATTGCCTTATTCCCTGATTCCCAATTTGAGTCTTTAAATAGGAGGCAACTCTCCTCCATGAGGTTTAAAAATAATTCATCCAAATTAATAAATTTTTCTACCACGTCCAGTTTTTGAGAAAAAAAACTGTTGAAGTGGTAAAAGTGACAAATTTCAAAAACAAAAAAAAACATTAAAAATATAAATTTGGGCGTAGTTTTTCCGAAGAAAAAACACGTATTAATGAAAATCCAATTAGTCTGATGGCTTATACCTCATGTCGATGGATTGAGTAGAAAGAGGAGAAGAATTAAAAAAAAAAAATCTTAGTGAAACAAAAACACTAGCGAAGAACATGGTGAACGAATCCACCAGGACATAGAAACTATGTAGAAGTGGTATGATATGAAATCAAACCTCCACATGCTTGCTGACTGATTTGTTCATTAAATCACTTTGGTTTTAAAATAAATTCATAGATTGAGATTTTCGTATTTGTGGGAAAACAAGTGCATGTTATTGAAGAACTGAGTTTTTTTTTTATTTTTCACTCATTTCTGACCAACTCATCGACATCAGGTAGAATCCATCAGACGAATTGGATTTCAAAATTGTATAAAAAAAATTTGAAATTGGCCACTTTTGCAATTTTTCGACACTTCAAAAGATCTATAAGATAAAATAAGACCAAATTTTGTTTTTATATACATATCTATCTTTATACCAAGGTCCAGTACTGTGGATACCACAAATACTACTTCCAGATATATGCAGTATGCATAATTCCGTTTGTATGGGAGGTGCCACGACCGCTTGTCTAATCGATATTAAATCTATCTATATTTTAAGTTAAACTAAATGACAGCAGCAAAATTTCATGATGATTGGTTGCGTCCAAAACCGCATGCCAGTCGTGTCTCTTCTGTGCCAACTGACGCCAATTAGCAATGCCAAGTGAAACCAAATCCTTTTCCCCCATGTCTTTCGAACGCCTTCCTCTTCCTCTGTTACCAGCATCACGACCCGCGTTGAATACTTTCTGAGCAGTAGCGTTTCTGTCCATTTGAACGACATGACCTAGCCAGCGGAGCCGCTGAATTTTAATTCGCTGGACTATGTCCATAACGTAGCTCATACAGCTCATCGTTAAATCGTTAATGATTTTTGTACGACGAGAGAGGAATTTGCTTCTCAATTTCCTACTCAGTCCAAAGTAGCACTTGTTGGCGAGAGTGATCCTTAAAGCATTGCTCACTTAAAATCGGTACGCGTTCCAGCCATTCCTGTACGGCAATTGTTTGAATGTACTAAAAAGTTGCAATGCACATCGTTAGACAATAGATCTACCATTATGAGGTTGAAATTTCATAGTACTGGCTTATAATTTGACAGTTTTATTCCCGTTGGAAGTGGCTGCTCAAAAAATAACGTTGAACGAATTCGTTAAAAATCCGACACTCTTGAGATCAAAAATTAAATTAAAATTAAATGTACCAAAAA